TTTTTTTTTTTTTTTTCCAATTTGCGGAAGAATACTTATAAATGACCTTTTTATTTAAAGAATCTTTAAGTCAGTGGAGGTACACTGAGACATTGTGAGAGCCAGCTTAGTTCGAAAAAGCTGCTACGTGGATCTCTGTTTATAAATATGTAAATACCTCCAGTGGTATTAGTGAGAATTTTTGCACATACAAAAAATACATAAGCAGAAAGTGTCTTCTGACAGTTCAACATGATTATTTTGAAGTTTGTAATAAACTGATGGGGAAAATGTTTACAATTGCTATTTTCGTGTAAATATTTTGTACTTTGCTCGTAACATCTTTCTGAGCTGTGGTCACTTGAGTTTCCCTGGCCATTGTGTAGACAAGCACAGAAGGATACAGAGAAATTAAATAATCTGCTCAGTTACTGGCAGATCACAAATGAATCAGCATCTTTTGAGGGAGGCAAAAAACAGCAAAATTATTATGACTGACTGTAGTATAGAGGTATTAATTATACCACAGGGATTTTTTGCTTCTTCATTCCCCATGGTGCATTAAAAGTAGAACATTCTGTTAACTCACTAAGTTAGTTACCTTTGCTCAATTGCCCCCTTTACACTTTTTACTGAATCATTTTTCTAAAACTTAACTAAGGCCTGATATGAAACCTCTGTATTTTAGGTGATTTTAGTTCTTAACATCTATACAGGGTGACTAACTTAGTCCTTGTCATTCAGCCTTTTAACAGATTGTATTTACATTGTCACTGGGCACTGGTTGGACAAAAATGCCTCCATTCATCCCTTACAGAAATAAATGTAAACCTTTTCCTCATACCAACCACTGGACAGCAACATAAATAGTCCTGACCATTTAGTTAGGACTTTCTGCATCTCTGCTTGTTGTCAGCTTCCAGTAGTAATACCCTGTGTTTGTGTTCCCAGTATCTGATCAGCTCAGCTATGTGGTTTGGGGTGTTTTTTTAGTAGATATTCAGGAAAAACGCTTGTCGTAATTTCTAAATCTGTATTTGTTAGGATTGGCAACCTGCACAATACACATGTACCTTTTTATAGTGGGTTGGTTGACTTGATTAAATGTGTCAGTGAAAGAAATGCTAGACTTTCATCCCAACTACACACTCTTAGAACATCACAGAAGCTGTCAGATTTATTATATATACATACATCTATATATTTTTATACACACACTGAATAGACTTGGTTGCAGAAGAACTGAATCGAATGATATACAGGACTTGGGAGAGTTTGGGCCCACACTTGCTTGCATAAACGTGGTGCTGTTAAGCATTCTGCTTTGGACAGCAGCTAAAAATTTCAATATTGAAGATCCAAATGTGCATTACTCTGCTGGAATAGGAAGCTGCAGTGTATTATGACATCAAGTACCTACTTATACATACCAAGTGTGCAGTGATCTTAAGGAGATCAAAGTAACTGTGTGCAGCTTGAGAATGTGAGACGTGGTAGCTGAATCCAGTGCAGTGGTTTTAGTTCGGATCCGGACTGCACTTCTGAAGTTACCTTGGTTATCTCCACTTCCTGTGATGTGTCTTGCTTTGTAAAGCAATGCCAGAGCAAATGGCAAAAATTCCTTTGAGATCAGTCTGAAGGGGAAGGTGTGCTTCAGGAGCATGCAGCCTGGCTGCTACTGGCCTTTCAGCAGGGAGAACTGAAGGATACCTGCTCCAAACCCTTAAAAGGGAAAGGCATGAGGAGAAGTGCAGTGTAGATGTCAAGTCTTGAGCTCTAACCTTTGCAGGGATCCTCTTCTTTTGGTTCACACTACTTTCTAGTATAAGCATGTCTCCTAAAGTGTCTCACTTGTGCAATTTCATTTTTTTCTGACACAAGTATCATGCAAACAAGCGTTAGGTTCTCTTAATGGTGCAGCAAGACAACTAGCAAGGGTGCTTCAGCTTATCGTCTTAACGAGGGAAGGAATTCCAGGCCTTTTGCCAAATACTAATGCCTCTGCTAATCTTAGGTAGTTCCTTGTTCTTGTACTGCTTTTCTGTGAAACCTCAGTATTCTTAATTCTTGTCATGTTTTGCCCTTGTTTTTTTCTCCTTATTTGAAGAGCAGTAGTGTTAAAAGAATGAGATTGCTCTTTCACTAGGGCAAATGTTATTCAGGCATTCAAAATGTCTTTGATCATTGGAAGCTAGTTAATTGTTTCTGTGGTTGCATTTTACCTTATTTGTTTGCAGTTTTATTATATATTCTGCTGCATGTTACTGAGCTGAAGTTTCCTTCTCTCATCTGTATATCAGAGTAGTTTATATATCAATCTGTAAATTATTCCAGGATCTCCAAGGCAAAAGCTGCATATAGATAGCTAACTGAATAATAGAATTGACTGGCTTTATTATTTGAATAGTTGTCTGGTATGGAAAATATCTTCAGGAATAATCACATATAATTTAAATTGCTCTGTTCTGTTTTCTGTGCCTTTTTTGTTCCTTTTGCTAGCTTCTGAAAATAGCTTCAGATGTTGAAGTGATTCTCAGAACTTCCGTTATTCAGGCAGTTCATACAGATTCTGACAAAATAGGTAAGTCAGTCTGCATGCTAAAAAGATGTTTAAAAATGTTGTAGTTTTGTAAATAAATACAGAATGTGAAAATAAGTAAAGGGATAGTGAGACAAATTGTCTGTTATTCTTTGCCCAAAAGCTTAATGTAAGCTGATGATTAATGTCACCACCTAGGACAGGTGGAGGCTTCAAAGGTACAAAGTTTCTTACACAAACACTTTGAAATATGGAGGCTGGTGGAAAAGAGGCGGTGACTACTTTTAATGCCCCTAATGAGAGGAAGAAGTTATGACTATTTAACTAGCTATAACTCTTAGGAGGGACAGCAATTGGGTAGCAGGTCAGCATGCAAGTACAGGGTAGTCAGTGTGTGTGTAAATGCAGTAGCCACAGTATCTGTGTGTGCGTGCTTGCTCTGCCAAGTGGGTGGAAGCTGCCTGAGGAGAATTAGCAAGTGCAGTGTGTACACTGTTCATAGAATAGCTTTTTGAGGATTTGAGTGTTTGAATGTTTTTGAGGATTGAGTTCTTTCCCAAAACCTTTTTCCAGCAATTTCAGGTTCAGATTGTGCTGTAGAAGACCTGTGACACAACGATGGCCTTGATGCAAAGTCTATCCAATTCTGAAATTTTGATTCCTAGTTTAGAAGTTCTTTTATTTTACAGTCGAACAGTAGAGAAAGCACACAACTGTGTGGTAGAGAACAGGGAAAATCTCCACCTGAGTACATTGTTTCCTTTCACTTCTGTTTAGTTTTGTCTGTAAAGTTTTGTAACAGTTGTGAGATCTAGGTTTGGTAGAGCATTTAACATTAAAATGGCCATCACGATGAAGCCCGAAGATATGACTAGACCAGTGTCAAGTCTTCCACAGAAGAAAAAAAGCTGAAGACTTGTCTTAGTGAGAACAAAAAAAACCAAGGGGGAACATCTTCCCTAGTGCAATTAAATTATTGTGCTGTCACAGAATCAGTTCACAGGGCACTGTTATTGTCTAAAAAGAATTTGAGGCACAGTGGTGTACAGTCGTGTTGAGATTCATTAGTAAATCTTGGAGAAAAAAATAGGCTGAGATTTTCTTACTAAAGGGAAGGCAATTTCAATTAGGAGCTTGTTAGTTATATTAGACAATTTTTCTGGTTTTTTTTAATGTTTAGTTACGTTACTCGATAGTATACAAATGTCTCAGTCTTTTCATTTTGATTTAATTTCTGATTAAGCTGAGACAAGTAGAGCTTACTTTTTTAGTGTTATATCAGACATGCAATATGTGCTGATTTTGATTTGGTGTGTTGGCAATGTATGTTCAAAATTTAGCTTTGAAAAGGAAGGTTAAAAATTCTCCTTTCAATTTTTATTTGTTTGTACTTTTGCTTTTCAATACTTTATATCCAGTTCTGTGGTTTTTTAGTATTTGTTCTAGGCATGTAGATCAACATGTTTTCTCATACCTGTACTCCCATTGATTTTATCTAAGAGAAATGCAATGGGAATTTTACTTAAAGCTCTTAGAAACTTATTAAGTGCATCAGTATCAGTACTTAGATGCAAAAAGAGCATACCCTCAAGAAAATCAGGTTTTTTTCTCGTAAGGTGAGGGATATCAGTGCACTTTGGACAGCATGTTACTCATTGAACACACAAACACACAGTTTTGCAGGTTTACTGCATCTCTTGCAGCCGCCTGGCATAGTCAAAGTACAGTGTTATGATTTCAGGTGTTTGTGATTTAGTTTTTGCTGCTGGAGCAAATCTGACATGACACAGCACCTTCACTTCATGAAAAAAAGACAAGCTGATTCTGACAAGTTAGACAGCAAGAACTAAGGTGTCAGGAAGGGGTTAAAATGGTGTATATTTAGGCAAACCCTAACACAGTGCGCTTCTGTGACAGTACAGTCAGTTCTGTGACAATACAGTGGCAATAACTTTCCTTTCCTCTTGGCCTTTAAAACAGGTATGACAGGATAAATAGTACAGATCAGATTCCAGGACTTGGGGGAGCAGGCTAAGTCAAATTCAGTATTAATTTTTGAAACTATTGAAGTAAACATGGCTCAGGCTTGATAAAATTGCCATTCACTTTCCTGCTAAGAGTTACTGCAAGGCTTTGACATTTTTTTATGACTTCTTAGTGCTATTAAAGTTTTCAATGCTCTTAAAAGGAAAAATGGGAAGGCATTATTGTGACCAAGTGAAGGTAAAAATCTTAGCATAACTTTCTCTTAGGTAGAAGTCATGATGATGCTGGTACACTTACCAGAAGTTCAAATCCTCATTCAGATCCTCACCATAAACCCAAAGTTGAGATCCTCGTGATCCTTATGAGATCCTAATTTTTTGCTTGTTAGTGTAAAAACAACTTCAGAATAGTATTTTCCGTAAGATTATAGTCTTACTGTTTTTTTTTTCTATTACAGTGCTCATACCCAGGAAAGATCTTCTACAAGACAACACTCCTTACTTAGATAAACCATCAAAAAAGCAAGAATCCTGAGGAAAATATGTCCCTCTCCCCAGAAAGTTAATATCCTGTAATGACATCTCTGAAAACCAACCAACAGTGTATCCTTGTTTTAAAGCTAAATTTTGGAAACAGTTAAGTTTCCTGTTACCAGGAAAACAGAGACTGAAGTCAACTCATCGTTTTTATTGAGTGCTGTGATATCATCATTCACTTTTTCTGTGGATATACTAATATTTCTACAGGACTTAAAAGTACACTGCTGAATTGTGTTACTTCAGCCAGGAAGGTTTCTGATTATGACAGTTGTCAGACGGAGATTGTTTCCCAGCAATCCAGAGTTTGTCAAAGCTAAATAAAAATTAAATGCTGTTCTTAATCCTTATAGTATTTATTTGTAAGTTTCTTGTTAATCATAGGCTGCTATGAAGTAATGAAAAGACATCTTGTGGCACTTGCCGTAAAATTTATGCTTTGCACCAAAAGCATGATTTCTGAAGTGGTCATTAATTGTACACTGAATAAATTATTTTTATTTTACAGATGGGAGAGCATGTGTAGTGTTTTTCTTCTCCCATGCACCTTGGCATGAGCAGGAATGTTAGGGTTTGAGTTCTCAGGTGACAGCACAACAAGAGAAGCGAGCCACAACCTGGATGTTGGCTTAGATCATATGGTTTATGTATTTATGGTTTGTATTTTAACTTGTGATTAATGAGTGACTTACTGAGGCATTTTCTAAAAAAGGAGCCTTGCTGGTTACTTGTAAGTGAGCTAACTTGCCTAGAGTGAATGTATGAGGAGTTTAATTAGTAAGCCCTAATCACTTCCATTTTTTTCCTAGAGACTTACTTGCTTCTTTTGGAATTCATCACAATGAGCTGTTTACTTCCATTTTAATCGGCACCAGGTAAAACTGCATAGAATCTTGTCTGTGTGAAGCCAGTAACAGGCACCATACTAGGATCTAAATACCCCACACAGGAGTGAGGTAGTCCAGTAATACCTCCCAACTCTCTTCCGAGTCCCAGTGATCCTGTTTATTTTTAATAAGCCTCAAAGATGTCAAAATCGTATATCTGTGTGGGCTCTGACATGGCTTCACTGACTGAGTAAACCAGGAAACTGGTGCCTTCATCCAGTCCCTTTTCCTCACACAGCATGCCAGTGTGGTAAGTACTCCTTTTCTTCGAAACTGTTGCCTCTGGCTGCCGTGGGCAGGGCAGCCAGCAGCGAACACAGCCGCCAGTAACCCTCTTGCAATTGCACTGATGCTCCCTGCGCTGTAGCTAGGAGGCAGTAGGCAAATGATGGGGGATAGAGTGAAATGACTGCAGTTCCTGCTACTTCTTGTGTTCTAGTGGCTCCACTACAGTGTCTCAGTCTGTAGGGCGTGTCCTGTTCAAGGCCCCTGGTGTTTTTTACTTCCCTAAGGACAAGGTATTTTCAGTGTCAGGTCTCCCATCCCTCTGCAGCCTGACTGCCTTGACTCTTTTTGTCCCCACAGGGAGCATAAGAGAGGAGCATGCAAGAGAGAGAAAACAGAAGGTAGTTGCAACTGTAAAGAGAAAACAGAGCATTGCCTCAAGCAAGAGTGACTAACTTTTAAGCAGAAATAATTAAACAGGAGTCTGGCAAGACTGGCAAATTATATAACCATTGAGGTGTATGGCATGTTGGAATTGGGAGGAATTCACCTCCTGTAAGACCCGCTGCTTTAGGCTGTGGCCATAGCCTCAGTGATTTTCTCCTTCAGATAGGTTTCATAGAACTGAGGCCTGGTAAGTCTTCACTCTTCCAGTACTGATGAAAAACAATGTTGCCCATTGCCATTAAAAATACCCACTAAAAGACTTCAGTGATGTTACGGTAGGTGGTGGTCTTTTATATGCTGTTTGAGGAAACCACAAGTGGAGAAACTTTTCATGTGTGGTACTGTGCTGTCGTGTGTTTCAGGGTTTTATTTTTACTCAGAACACATTAGTAGAAGTGTAGCACGGTGCGGCAAAAATCCCTCACTCAGCACCCTTTGCTGTGATTGAATCCACGGGAGACAGACTTTGTCCAGGCAGATCTCTGCTGCAACTTTATTAATCCATTTATATACACAATAAAAGTCTGAGCCATCAAGCCAGGCCAGGTGTTACTTATCTGCAGACATACCACACAGACACTCCCGTGGCCACCTTCAGCCACAGAGAACAATCATGCTTCAAGCAGCTTTCCAGCTTGACCTGGTGATTCTTTTTACACACACACTAATCTTAGCTCTTGCTAGCTCAGGACCACAATATTTTTGCTTTAATATTTTCTTCTTCTATCATCCAGGTGGCTGGTATTGTCTTGTTTAGCTGCTCCTACAGTGCAGAAGTGTCAACTTACAGGATCAGGCTTGGGATTCAACAGGCTCTCGTGTGCTTCATCTGGCCCACATCTTGAATACTCACCGTAAAAACACAGAATAAGTCACCTTATATTTCACAACTGGTGAAAATATAGTACACGGTAACAAAAATAGTTGGTAGAATTTAATGGCCTTCAGAACAATTCTTACGCTCTGTGCGGTGTGTTTGGGGTCTGTACGTTAACATTCCGTGTTCCTACTGTCTTTGTGCATTCCTGGGTAGCAAAGACAAACTGAATGTTGCAGTTTTGAGATGAAGAAAACCAATGTGATAAGAAAAAGGCTACTGATGTAAGAGGCTGATAGGCCTATTCATTGCTCTTATTCGATATGGTCTTAAATAGGAACCCAAGGGATATCTAGACCAGGATAGATAGGAATCCAAACATGTAACTGAGCCTAAAAGTATTTCAGAGTTGGCTGCTGTCTGGGCCCAGCAGGTGTTTGCTTTCTACAAATTTAACTTCGCAGCCTTGAAAGACTCACAGGCCTGCTTAATGAGCAGCTGCTAATTAAAGGCTTCTTTGTGCTAGTTAGTTGGTGGTAGTGACTATTCCTCTTCCCCTTTTTTCATGCTTACCTGTTGGTTCACATTCCAGAACCCAGCCATCTTCCCAGTTTCCATTTCCATTTTCATTTCACTCTGGGTGTGAATCTGTTCTTGATACCACTGGCTTTGTGCTTATTTTCTTTCATTAATATCAGTAATAAATAAGACAGGAGCTATTGTTGCAATCCCTCTGGAAAGTTTGAAGTTTTAACGGGGAAAACATTTTAACTAAATGGCTTGGGAGGGAAAAGGCTGATTCTTTACAACAGAGAGTGTAATTTAATAGGCTTACAATCACATAATTCAGTCTTATTAAACTTTTTCGGGTTTACTGGAACTGCAGAATTTTTAAAGGAAATATATGTGCCTTTCCTTCTATAGTATGCATTATTAGTCTTGAAAGATAAGCCTTGCAGGTAATTGTTCTTTGAACTGTACAAGGTTTCTTCAGTTGTTTTGGTTTTTTTCTGCAAACGGTAGATCAGGGTAGGGACCAAGCATGATATTAGTACATTTGCTGTAGACTGATACTCATAAAACACAGGTCATAGATTTAATCTATGAATTGATTTTATTTGCACGGGTAGGATTTGAGTTGAACTTTTTATAGTCTTCAGGTGAAACATGGTGGCTTTTCTGACTTAACAAGGCCAAATTATTCCCCTTCTCTGTTCCTGTGCAACTTGGTAAAGGAGACATTTAGTTGCTATTTTTAAAGGGAGTGCCTTTGAACCACAGAGTGACTCCACAAAAAGTTGATCTGGAAGTAGCATTAAAAATTTAATTTGTAATTCTTGGCTTGTACATTCCCTAAGGATCCAAGTTCTCAAGCAGTTTTTCAGGTAATATGAGATCAGCAAACCTGTGACAACTTCAGTAACTAAATTAGCATTAGCCTTTTTTCTTTTTCTTAGAAGTCCTGCTGGCTGAAGGAGCTGAAGTAGTCTGAATGCTGCATAACATTATGAGTCCTGTTTGTATCACAATGGACCTGTAAATACAGCTTTAAAGAACTGGCAGTTCTTTAAACTTCCTTTACAGAAGGGGAAAAAAATATTGACAGTTGAAAACTAAAAATAAAGGCTGACCAACTTACAGGAAGAGCTGAGTCCTTGTACTTCCCAGCCTTAAATAACTCTTTCCAAACTACTTGCAAAATTTAATGCTAAACTCTGAAGTTTGGTGGTCTATCAAATCTTTGATCTTTAGCTTTAAGGGAAAGGAGGTGAGGGTCAGCCTCTTCTGCCACACCTGCATTGTGAGGACTAAAACTGAGACAGAGGAGATTCATATTAGATATTAGAAAAAAAAATCACTGTTAGGGTGGCATTGGAGTAGGTTTCCCAGTGAGGTGATGGACTCACCATCTCTGGAGGTGCTTAAGCGACGTCTGGATCTGGCACTGGGTGATATGTTTTACTGGCTAAGGGGTTACAGTGGTAGTTCTGGGTTGATGGTTGGACTGGATGATCTTAGAGGTCTCTTCCAACTTCGATGACTCTATGATTCTGCAGTTACAAAGGTTTGATGTTTTGATAACTCTAGTAGAAATCTAATCATCTTTGAGGGTAAAATGTATGTAGCTTTTATGGGGTAATTTAGTGTTTTAGATATCCAAACATCTGATTCTGTTGAGAGACTTCACCAGTGAAGCTTTTGTGATAGATTTATTGCCCATTTTAGAATTCTGCTTTTCTGTGTCTTTTGTTTTTCCTGCCAGCAAGAGTAAATCTGAGGAGAGAGCAAGAGAGGAAGGTCACACCTTTATACTTTGAAAAACAGCAATAGGTATAAATAATTTGCTCTTTTTATAAGCAAATATTTCCCTTTAGTTGGAACTTCAGTAATCTGGTTTGCATCAGGCAGAGGAGGAGGAGTGAAAGCATCTACTTTTCAAATCATGCTTTCATTTTTCTTGCAGTATGTGCTTCAGCTTTCCATCTCATCCAAAAGGCTATAGATGGAATCCAGGACTGGTCGGGATTAAATAAGCAGCTGGTGGAACTTCAGCCTCTAGAAGCAGGGTGAGAGGGTGGCACGCTTTGAGTTGGGCCACGA